CTAACACTACCACTTATAGTAACGCATATTATTGAACCACTCGTTTGTCAGTAATATCATTTAAACTTTCAAAACAAACGTCAAACAGAAGTAACTTGTCTTCGTTATATATGTTTTACTTTTGATTAGTCCATGTTATGTTGTAGTTATCGAGTATGCCATCGTAGATATGTTATATAATAAGCCAGAAAACAACATATTTTTAGCACAATATTGTTGATTTACGATTGAATCCCCCAGGTAAACCCGAAAATACTGTATAAATCAAATCATGGAAACTGCACAAAACTAAATAGTTCTTGTAATGAAGGTACACAAATCTTCACAATCAAGTTTCCCAAGTCACCATAGCGAGGAATGCTTCAATACTTAGAAAAGCGTCTTTAACTGTCAGTCACGAGATTTTGGTCTAGAGATAGGCTAAGGTAATGAGCAAGATCCAGCAATTGTACGCAAAATGTTCTTTCAAACCGACCTTGCTTTCCCGCTAATTACACCCTGTTTTTAATTATTTCTTTGTCAATTCTCTTGATTGGGCATTGAAATCTGTAGGAAGGAATTATAGTATACCATACGTTAGTATACTATAGTAGAGGTTGTCATCCGTAGATCTTGTGTCTCTATGGATTACAAATCTCTATTGCCTGCTTTGAAAAAACAACAACAACAACAACAATAGCATCAGCAAAAACAATTTACCTAAAAGATCTTTTGAAGATCATATGAGCTACACCGATGTGCATTTAATATCAGCATGGATATATATGTGTACCCATTGGATATATTCATGTATATCTGTCTTATGAAAAACACCCACATTTCTAGACGATTCAAATAAAGAAACAGGCAAATTGTGTACATTTGACAAAAGACAAAACAAGTTCAAAATATAATGTTTTCAACTATCACAATCACACGTCACTATTAAATATGACTAACCAGAAAAATAACCATTATTCCTTGATCAAAACGGCACTTGTGTGTGATGACCATAGATAAGTTACTAGTACATCTCTATCTTTAAAGCTCCAGGACAATGTTTATCAAATGAATACAAGTGTCATGTAAAGTGTACTGAGCATAATTAAAGTCAAATGCTTGACTTCATCATAGTTAACAGCTACGAGAAATTCTGCGACAATATATTGAAGTAAGAAGTACATTAATTGTCTCCTCTGTTCGGTTCATTATGCTGATCAGTTCATTATGCATATGAGTAGGAACTTCGGATATGCATAACGATATGGCGACGATGTATAACTTCAGCTTCAGGTATACTGATTATACGAAACCGTTAAAAAAATGCTCAGATAGGCAATTTCTTTCCCTTTAAAACAACTTCGCATGCTTCATATGCAAATTTATGTATAAATATTCAGACTAATAGAAAACGTATTTACGAAACGATAACATTTCGACAATTAACTAGTTCGTTTCGATGTGCACTTGTGTATGTGCCCGGTGTAAGCGATGGGACAGAAAAAGCTAGCATTTTGGCCCACACATGGTATCTTTATTATTTCATATTTATTCTTAAAAAACAAATGCTCATGGTTTAGTTCTGCAGTGACTTTCTCAGGTTTATGGAAAGAATATTGTCGCTTTTCATTAGTTGATAATTGGTGTTGAAAAAGTGTCTACTGTTGAGGTTGCCCTACAAAGCGATAATAGCAGTTTGCTTTCTTTCACGTAATGGTATTTTATGGCAGTCACGTCTCAGCCTTAGGCTTGTAGTCAGAGGTAAACGTAGTATGGGAACAACTTTAAGATTTCAAATAGTACAAATGCTAATATGTTCAGACAGGTAATGCCAGAAAAAAACATGTTAAAAGATAGACATGGAAGTGAAACATCAAGTCCTTACACGCTCCGGCGTTTTGTAGTTTTATTTTGATAAAATGTCAGATAAAACCGTTTATAGAATAGCTGTCTTAATAGTGGTGTACAACGTAGGGCCAACCTAACAAGTAAGTCAGATGGTATTAATCATCACAGACGTTGACAATCTCATTTACTCGGCGAGGCGATTCGATTCATATGCTGGGAAATGTGGACTTGATTCATAAAGATACTAGCACTTTAGCATGTTCGTTATGGTGAGAGCATCTGTATTTCTTGACTCTTGTAAATCTTACCTTTTTAGATAAATAATCAAGTATGCTTTTGTCGATACCAAGTTACATAGTCAATAGAAAACAACACATACCAGAACACGTTTGGTCATGGCTCATGAGAGACGGTTGACATGTGAGCGTATGATATACTATTCAAACGACGTTAGAAAACACTCGACGTTTCAGATGACAGTTGTTAATCATCACTCATATATAGTAACTATAGTCATATGGATACAATCGGGTGTTTTGTCACTTCTTCCGAGAGGTATATACAGATCAATGGTAGAAGTTCATAGCCTGTGGTATTTGACATGGAATGTAGTTCGGCGCCAAGTCGTCGTGTCATATTGTAAGATGTTGCGGACTTCTTCTTACTTTAGACCGCTCTTATATTTGCTCTCCGTTTAAATGATGTTTACATCGATTTAAAGATTTCAAGAGATTAAGTAAAGATTGGAAATTATAAAACGGCAATATCTCTCTACTTCTAACAAATATTAGCTAACAAATAACCTTCAGTTACAGTTGATAAAATGCCGATCTAGTATACCATCGTTTACGGGTGATCTACTACTATGTGGACCGAGTAGAGGGTCAGTTTCAACTTATAAGAACTTCGACTTACAGATCCGCCCTTATGATGATCCCTGGTTTGTCAAGACTTTACCTTACCGACCTTACGTCAGTTTCAAAAAGCCGTAATGACAACTACCGATATGGCTTTACCTTTACATAAAGCTAACACGAAGTAAACTGTAACATAATCCTCAAATATTCACTCATTACAAAGGAGTCACAAGTAGTGCCAGATTACACACGGTAATTCTCGAAGCTTGGGGTTACATGCTCTCACAACGTTATATGCTCTTGTAACAAATTAGGACAATTTGTAAGAACAATATTCTATTTGCATCCAAAGCTTCTTGTCCCTGAGTGACGTACTTTATACTGGTATACATACACATGAATTTGTATCCATATTTCCATGTAATGACGCTGTTATATGCTTATTGAATGTTAATATTGGTGTAATGAATAAGTACGTTTCCTTCGATCGACATGAAAACCGGTGGTAACAAATACCTTTACCCAAGACGTCACGCCAGATAGTAAATAGTGAAGTTGGCCAAGCGAAACAACGGTTGATAGCATAAGCAACGAACAAGTAAGTCGGGGTACGACACAACGTCAGACAGGTTACACTTTTTAACCGCCAATATTTGAAAGGTCTGATAATCAGTGACGTTTCTGACAAGGTAATCGCATGTGGTCTTTTGGTTATTACAACCAGCTCAGCAACTCTCCTGACCAGGGAATGTCACGGGGTAGTTTCATTGTTACAACCAGTAACTTTCCTTGCCGGCAGATAAAACACTGGTATTTTTGTTGGTTGATTGCTTGGTTTGTTTTTTTAACGCCATACTCAGCAATATTACAGCTATATGGCGGCGGTCTTTAAATAATCGAGTCTAGACCAGACAATCCAGTGATCAACACCATGAGCATCGATCTAAGCAATTGGGATACGATGGCATGTGTCAACCAAGTCAGCGACCCTAACCACCCGATCCCGTTAGTCGCCTCTACGACAAGTATGGGTTGCTGAAGATCAGTATTCTAACCTGGGCCTTCACGGGTCAGTATTTTGGTTGTTACAACCAGTAACGCTTCTGACCGGGAAAAAATACGGGTATTTTTTTTACCACTAACTATCATGACTCTGAAATGGCAAACACTCCAATATATATTGGAGGAATCCTGAAGATAGAGATATATGAATCATATGCTAATGGACACACGATACATTGACTAACGATACATTGTATTATTCAAAGCCCCGTCGCTCTTCACTGATACCAAGTGAAAAAATCTAGTACAATTCGCATTGTGAGGGTACCACAATTACTATAAGCATGCAATTTTCCTATAATATTCAGATACGTATGTGCTTATGTACTTGACTGATATCAATGTAATCCATTTCTATTGATAAAATGAATTTAGTTGCAGGAGTCTAAACTCAAATCGGGGCGGTGGGGTAGTCTAGCGGTTAAGGCGTTTACTCGTCACGCCGGAGACCCGAGTTCGATTGGAAACATGGGTACAATGTGTGAAGCCCTTTACTGGTGTCTCCCGCCGTGATATTGCTAGAATATTGCTAAAAGCGGCGTTAAAACCATACTCACTCACTAAACTCAAATAAAAAATTACAACTTGAGATACAAAAATGAGATACAGACTATTGCCCTTTGTTTCACAAAGCTATCGCAGCGCTACGACTTTCGTAAGTCTATGTTACAGTATAGGATGTACGACAGTTGTCGATAGCTTTGTGAAACGGGACCCTGGTCTTACTGACTATATCACCGTTATGACTGATCTAATTAACATGATTAGGAAACACCTAAACTGCTGCGTCAAAAGTTAGATTTGCTTTGGTTATTGTATATACCAGTAATTCTGAAGAACACGCGTGTAACGAGACCAACAACCAAATGCTGTCATGCTTCCCTAATAAGAATACCAAACTAATTTTATCTGCAATTGTCCCGTTGTCAACCTTCAATAAATAAAGCGGTTGGTTGCAACCAGAGGGTTGTCTATAACGTAGTCTAACGCTAACAGTAAGGGTACCAAGTCTGGATGTAGAAATTCCCCTCAGTCTGCAGTGTAGAGTACTTGTCAACGCCAGGTCCTTCTCATCTGCATCATGTGTCCCATTGGTGTGTCCCAGCACGAGCTATTGCATCAACAGAGTAATCAGTACTAATATATGGAGACATTTTAACTTTCTTGTATGAGAACTGGCACAAATCTATCAATAATGACTGACTGTGCAAGAAGATTTTATAATGACATTCATAATCTGTGAAAATGGGCAACGCAAACTTTATTTACTTTAAACCTAGACTACATTTCGTTAGGAGAATAGAATCAGTTAACAATCCATAAAAGTTATTTGGACAAACATTACTTTCACTACACTGCTGAATTAAAACGGATCAGAGCCTTAACATTAAGCAAGCACTGGGATGAAATATCTGGGAAGGAAACATAGTATAAACATATTTGGTATGGCTCCTCAACAGAGATCTTAATCTTAGATTACTAATTAAATCCTTAATGTGTCTTAATATATACTGAACAAAACCAGAAACTTCACACATGGAGAAATGAATAATATTGAAAATGGATATTACAAGGTGGTTTATATGCACGTTTGCGGGGTCACTTGACCACAATTTGATGTGAATAACCACAATTCTTAAGAGATAAACAGTTCTCATGCCACGCTTTACATTGTCAACGTAAACGTGCAATTGGCATGCTCCAGACTGGCCTGTCTACTTTGGTTGATGCACATGCCATGAGATGCAGTAGAGGGACAAGTCACAATCTGAGGACACGTGTGCACCAAACGGGTACAGCATCTGATCGCCCCAGGTCAGGACGGCAACACAATCAGATTCGCGTGTTCGGTGTACGAATTAAGCTGTAAGAAAATGACATTGTACTGTATTGTCTATTACGAGTAGTTGATACCTTCGTATCTTTAAGTGTAATCAACATTACTAACATTAATCTGAAGTTAGTTCACTTGTGACCTGTCTTCGTACAACTGAAATACTGTTAAAGTAGGATTACATTCACACTTACTCACTCCAGTTCAGCTGGAGAACCTTTGTCATTGTTTAGAGCTACCACAGACAGAATATTTCAGTATAGAACTCTCACACATATAGAATAACACCTCTCCTATGTATACAGAGGTGCATTTTTTTCATAGCTTAAATATATTCGTGTTTTAAAGATATTCATAGTGACAAATACAAATAAGATGTCGACACTTTCGATGCCATTCAAATCACCTTGTCAAAAATTATTTGTCTTTCATGTACAAATACTATGAATATTCGGTAACACATTTACCTCCGGTTTGATACCGGTTGGAACGGGCCTTTAGCAACTCGCGATTGTCATACGAAGAGTGGGTTGTGCTTAAAAATTATCACTTGAGTTTGTTGAAAGACGAGAATGAGAGGAAGTGGTGGGGTGGCCAGGTTCTGATTCCTGGCTGGATGCGTGTCTTGTAGCTCATGCTTTCACTAATCACTAGTTTCTCTGTTCCTGGTTATAATGCAAGCTTACAAGCTCTGGGGTAGTCCTGATTACGATTTTATAGAACACTGTTTCTCAAACCACATGTAATAATGAAACTAAAACAAATGTCTGCTCATACCACTCTATCGTGGTATTTGTACCACTTTATCAAGAACGACAGGCAATGTCCATGCACATGAAGCAAGCCGCCGATTTCACATTGCCTCCGTTTGTGGTAGGTCCGTAGATGTGCACTGGTTTCATACATCTCATCAAAATACAATATGTCAAAATTCTGAATGGCGGAACAAAGAATATTTCCGGATTCGCTCACTTTCCCTACACCGTTTCTGGTTGTACAGATATCACAATGCCCTATCGACATTCGTTTGTAATATGTTCTGAAGAATTAACACAACACTGAACGTTTGCTACACAAAACAAGTCCTCATATTTATCTATACTAAGCAGCAAAAGAAATGTCAGTTTGGAATTTCCCTTCGCAGAAACGGATAACTGTAAACTCATTTAATGTTTTGATTGTATATTTTTTACAACATCTCCAACTTTATCTGAGCAAATACATTCCTTCCCAAACTCAGAATGGAACCAAGGAAATGGCCTAAAAAACGCAACCTGATCTTGGAGATGGTACGGTGTTCTCCATGTCTTTCATGCAACTCATGCTGCACGTGCTGTCCACAAGGACCAGCCCTATAAGATGCACCCACAAACCTGGTTGAAACATTCACATTACAACATCAGCAGGATGCAGCTCAGAGGAACCAGGCGCTAGGAAAACCCACTGGCCACACTGCACAAGCCGTTGCCAATCATTTCCAGGTCAACGTTTGGACCATCTACAGGCTGCAGCAACGTTTCTGGGCCACAAACACCACAAATGATGGCAGACCAAGGGTGACCACAAGACGACAAGACCGCCATGATGTGCGACAGCATGTACTGAATCCCTTCATGCAGGCATCCGAAACAGCACGCCAGACAGTGGGGACACACGGAAGACCAATCAGTACTGATACAGTACGCCGGCGTCTTAACAGCGGGAACCTCCATTGCCGTAGACCTTACCGTGAACCTATCCTCACCCCTCGTCATCGGCGTGAACGTCTACAGTTTGCCCTACAACACCAAAACTGGCGATACAGGCAATGGAGAAGTGTTCTGTTCATAGATGAGAGTCGGTACTGCGTATCAACTGCAGATGGCAGAACAAGAATATGGCGACGACGTGGCCAGCTTTACTCAGACCAATGTGTTATGGAAAGAGACTCATGGGGAGGTGCAAGCATCATGGTATGGGGTGGAATATGCCTGAACCAGAGAGTGGGTCCTGTGGTGTTCCAGAACCTTGGTCCAGGGCGAGGAGGCGGCATCACAGCGATGCGCTACATCGACCAAGCTCTCAGACCCCACGTCATACCACATTTCGCACGTCACCGGAACAACAGTTTGCAGTATGATAACGCCCGGGGCCATGCTGCCAGAGCTACACGGGACTTCCTACAGCAGAACGGTGTCAACATTATGCAGTGGCCAGCCCTTAGTCCTGATTTAAACCCAATTTAACATCTTTGAGATGAAATTCAGAGGAGACTGATTAATGTCATACCAAGGCATGAACACAGCCGATTTCTTGCGCCTGGCCTTTCTCAGAGTGTGGTTCAAGGTGCCAGTGGCCTTCATCAATCGATTGGTGCACTCCATGCATAAACGCTGTGTTGCAGTTATTGCCGCTCGTGGTGGTCACACTAGATACTGAAGTGAAGGGTCTGAATGGACTGCAAACGTTCACGTAATGTCTTGAAATTGTGCTGAGTTATTCATTGATGTGTCAAGATATTGTACACAAAAAATGTTTTTGATCCGCTTATTATGTCAATTTCTGTAATGATTTGATTACAGTGCCTATCTAATTTTGAATTCGTACTGACGTATTTTTTGCTGCTGAGTATATAATGAAGTACTGACTGTTGCCACGAAGGAATTATTGAGGAATTTACACACAATGACACTGAGGCTCGTCGAGGAGCAGAAATAAAAATATTCATGAAATGTTTTGCATCCACAAATGTACGTTTGCACTGCTGTAATGTTGGTCCACATGGATGATATCGTTAATCTGTCAATGATATTGGCTTGGTTTATTTGTAGTTTGCACAATCAGTTCAGTTACTGGTAAACTGATATAACTCGAGGTGACTAAATAGCTGTGCCGATAGTGTTCATGGTAAGTCACTGCATAAAAAACCCATATTATCCATTTTGTCCTATCAATGTAACGTTATGCCTTGTGTCTAAACCTCATTTGTCAATAAGTATTGTATGTATTTGTACAGATAATATGTCATTATCTTACCAAAAAAGGCAGGAATCAGTCGACCTCTATTTTCCCGCTCACAATATAAAAATGAACTCGACTGCATCTTGTTATGTTTCAAAACTAAGTGTTTGCCAATGACGCCATATTTCATCTCCAAAAGGTAGCTTTGCAGAATCTGTTTGATCAAGATAACACAAAGGAAGGCCTCTGTGAAACTTTCCAGAGGTTTGACGCACAACCCACAAAATTGGTTTCCGTTTATTTTTGCTTTTGTATGTGTTTTTGATAGATCCTACAGATTGAGCAGGAAACTCACACCTTTTCACGGAAACCTGGTATCATCCTTAGTTGATAGTGATTCATATCATGCTTAGCATACTGTTGGAATCGTACGATGGCGATTTCTTATAAACATCAAATTGGTTTAGGTTGTGTCGTAGTATTTACATGTCCTACAAACAGCCTACCCTTATAATCCTTGCGTCCAACCTTCACTCGACATTGTTTGTTTATTTGCGCTTCAGGCAGCAATTTTGCAACCTTTTAGTTTCCTGACTGTCAATATGTTTTTTGACAATATAGGGATCAAACACTTGTACAAGTAGTTCGTATTGCCAAACTGGGGAGAAATTGTTTATATGTCCTGGCTCATAGGTATTTTTGTGTAAGAATTGTCACTACTTTGGTTGAATTGAATGAAAATAAGTTTTCTGATGACCCCACTCTCTTTAACAACAGCATGTAGTTGACGCCCCGATTAACGTGTAGTTTTAACGCGTCTTTCAACCATCAAAGAAACAATCGGACACAAATCTCCCATCATCGGTGCATGGAAATAATGACAACGTTTGTACCAAACTGTACAAGTTGGATGATGTCGATTTTTCATTCGTTAACTTTAATGTCGAGCCAAATACCAAAAGCCCAGGTTAAGTCCTCTACATTTCACAGTTGAGAATTGGGTACTTTAGAGGATCTACAGTTTATTTATGTTGCACGGTTTAAGTTATTCCTGAAATGTGAAGGATTTATGAGTATGACATGATACTTGATGCTGCCCCACGCTGTGACCTATATGTTCAGTTTTCAATCCTCCTTACTCACAGGCATTTAACAACATTGTGTGAGTTGGACATGAACACTGTCACTGATGATTTCAATTGGTCCATGCACATAATGTTCACTAGTTTACCTTTCAAGGCAGATACACTGCGTTGACATTTTGAATACCCATGATGACCTGTAAATGACCGAACATAAGGATGATCAATGGCCCACGCTAACGGGTGCTATGACCTCGCCACCAGTCACCCGGCTGGCGATCCAGTCCAATTTAGCCTTATGACAAGCATCAGAATACAAGGGGGCTGCTCTAACCCTTGTCCTCAACGGGACAATGTGTACTAAGTGTTCTTGCATCAAAGCTATACCGATTTGCATTTGGTTTGTTGGTATGTTGATTAGCGCTGCACTCAGCAATATTAGAGCGGTCGGTCTGTAAATATCTAGTCTGTACCAGACAATCCAGTGATCAACAGCATGAGCATCGATCTACGCAATTGGGATACGATGACATGTGTCAACCAAGTCTGACCACCCGACCACTCGATCCCGTTAGTCACCTCTTACGACAGAACATGGGTTGCTGAAGACCAATTCTAACCCGGGTCTTCATGGGTTAACAATACTGAGGCGGATGTGTACCGATATGTTTATTATCAATAATGTTACTGGTGACAAAGAAAATGTGAATGTAGGCGTTCTTTGAACAGGAGCAATGGCGAAAAGGCTATACTATTCTCTTGAAAGGAACAGTTTATCATTTTATCATTTAGCTAAACATATCGTCTCTCTAACATGTAAATGTGATCAACAAAACTAACATTTTGTTTCAAATATTATCCGTGTAAACTTGATAATACAATGAAAGGCGAATACAATTTTAAGAATCTTTCAGTTAAATTGAAACAGTAACTATTCCCAAGTGCATGTCATGTACAAGGCGCAGCGATATATAAAACTGTACAACATAATACATGACATCAGATTTAGTATTGTTTGATGTATATAGCTGTGGGTAAAATATGCAAAGTCGAAAAACATAATCAGTAGGCATGGAATGCCTTGTTATTAGTTCTGTGTCACATTAGAATCTGTTCTGCCCAGAACACATCCCTGTTATTAGCACAATGTGTAGGATCATCGGTATGTCGAAAAACGTTTTCTAAACTTTCAGCAAACATTTCAACATGACGTCAAGTCGTTCTTGTCATACAAAAACATAACATATGATTTACTTGTTTTTTACGTACCATGACAACAAATCTAAGTGACACGTATACGTATTCTGAGGCATTCAGGTCCCATGGCCGTTTTGTATTAAAAACAACCATCCATTGACAATCTGATCTGTATGAGCTTCCATTCCATTTTAATGATCCTCACATGGTCTTTGCCAAACAGTAGCATGTGCAAAAATCATTCAGTGCGCTTCGATATCCTAAACAGCGACTATTTTCTCAAAGGTCAGGGAGTTCATCCATGCGCCGTCTGTTGCACACAAAACATTGAGACAGCGATTTAATGCCTCAAACAGAGGTTCAAATGTTTAATGATTCCACAGATCTTTAGCACCACAACACGAAATGTAAACTTATGGGTATGATCTCGCATCTCCCCTGTAAGTTGTGCCAGACACATGCTGGATTCCTTCTACCAACTCTCACAATTCTGTTCAATAAACGTTTCTTGCGTTCAAGCCAAATGAAGACTCGGAGTAGTTTACCATTTCTTGTTTTTCCTAATCTTCTTGTTGAACAATGAGCAATACAAATCGACAGTTGCGTAACGTGGTCTAAGCTAATTTAACAATTGAAGCACGTTGAAGAGAAAATATGTTAACATCCCGTTTTGTTGCTTTACTTAGGAATTCCAGTTAACGTTCTCTGCAGAAACGCTGTAAATATATCTTTCTTATATTTCAGAAAACAAAAGGAATTTGTTCACTTGACCGTCTGTTCTTTACACTATGCAATATCAACAAAACGATAAAACAGGGGATGCGTTTATAATGTGCTGAAAGTCTTAATGAAGGGTTGCGTGTTTAACTTCAAGCAACATACTTCAGTGGGTATGCAAATAAAACATATTTTTTTCTTTACGGAAATGGAGTATAAGTGCTTGATGGAAATATATTGAAAGTATTGTGAATGAGGAGGGTAAATTCTACTTCCTTGCCAAAAGGGTTAGATTGGATCTCTTCATTCTAAAATGGGTAGTTTATAACAATAGGTTTTCAATTTTGCAGGTCTTATCCAATTGACGATCTACATAGTCTGTGTCCGGACCTATGTTATACGTGACTAATGCAACTAAATGTATTTCTGCTGAAAACTGATTAATTGGATGTGGCCATGTCAGAAAGTAGTTCTTAGAATATTCCTCCTGTTCAAAAAGAGCATTTCGAATTCTGAAATAAAATTAAAGCAACAGCAATAATAATAACAACAACAACAACAACAACAACAACAATAAAAACAATTACCACAATCTTAAGAAATGTGTCGAAAACAGGGTTCATTGTACGATTCAGGATATATCATGAACATTTGTTTATGAATGAAATGTTTCCCCCCAACGGTTAGCTTATCATTTCCCAACGTTGCCAACCGTCATAAACACATGCAAAATCAAGTACGTTAATATTAATTATGTAAGTGTCACAAAAAGGAATTACATCTTTCATAGTTTTCCTAACTAATGGAGATGTCTCTACTAAATGGTTAAGTTAAACAAATCTGACTGACATTTTATTGATTGTAACCGATTCTCACGACACAGTATTTGATTATGTAATCTGTACAATATCGAGCACCAAAATAAGAAAATAACCATAAAACATAAACCCCTAACTGCTGAAATTGTTAAAACAGAAACCATATAAGTGATCTAAAGATGACACTTGAGACAAAGTCTCATGCATTTGGAGGTGAAACACCCATGTCAAGAAATAAGACATGGGAGAGGGGCTATTTTTTAGATAGGATATGAGCGTCACTGCTTCACAACAAGCATATCATTCTGTTAAACGAAGAGTCAAACAATCAATGTTTTCTCACAACTCTTTTTACCGATATCATGTATAGTCTGCTAACCAAGAAACCAATCAGTGCCTGGGCTGAAGAACATCATCAAGTGACAGACTAGTCTTTCTAACTTATATTCTAATCTAAACAAGAGGTCGCTACATATGTAGTTAGGGGCTATCTACTCATTGTATGTTTGAAAAGAAATGACATTAAAAATATACAAGTACAAAATCATCAGAGTACAACGGTCTTCTGTCATAGGAGTTAACCATTAATTCGTACGTAACAAATGGAAATTCGGTTAACATATACTTATATTTTCCTTCCTGAATCATTATAATTATATTGTTACGATTCATATTCTACCATTTCGGATAGTTAATCTGCATGATTCAAACTATGACGACAAAAAAGCCTCTTTATGCATATGGTAACTTTTATAAATGTCGAGAGTTGTAAGAGCACATGCCGATGTGCATGAAAACTGTATGATATCCTTGTATACATATCCACAAAACTCTATTAACCTACTGCCAAAAACACTTTATCTCAATAGACATATATCGTTCAATTATTCATAGCATTAACACCACTAGTTATACTTTGGGACTTTTCATTATGACTCAGGAATATCTTTGCTTCAATATAGATCAGTATGCCATTAACCATGGGAAGCTTAATATTAGCAAAACATGATACAAAGGTAATTTTGAAAAAGAAAATTGTATTCATGTTTACGACTTTTACCAAACAATTCCAGGGGTACCATCATTTTCAGCAGGTTGAACATGTGCGCGCCTGCATGCGAAACGCAGACAACGTGATCTCATGTTTGGCTAATGGCGCACCGTAAGGGATAGACGATCACCAAGCAAATATTCAAAGAGACACATTGTGTACCAACATTGACGTCATATATAGAAAAAGCAACAATTTGCTCTCACATGACATTTCTGAACTGTGATCGGTTTCTGAATACCTTAACACAAACGCAAGGTAAACGAAAAGACGGAGAGATTAGAAAGAATGTTTTATCTGCCTGCACTGTATATGATCATATAGTGTAACACGATTTCCCAATCGTTGCTTTTAGCCCATTAGACTATGATAGTAATAAATGTGTTTAAAGTGATTATTGACAAATTACGCTTAAAACACTTACATTTACAGCATACCTAGTCGACATGGTTTAAAATGAAGGAATCAAACTTGAGTGTGTTTCAACAAGATGGAAACGAACAACAAACGATATGACTCCACTCGCGGTTCCTATTCTAAAAATGTTTAATGAATATGAGCCATTATTAACCTCGTGCTCGTTAAGTTCAAAACAATAATCATTTACTTGTCTAAATCACATTTAACTATTTGCAATTACAGCGATACCTAAACCAACACATACAATGAATATTGAAATAAGTTCAGGGTTCAACAATTTGCCCAAGATACGATAGTAATCGTTTTCCTGGACTGAAATATACGACGTTCTTTTCAAGTCATGCATATTTAGACCACTTTTTTGGACAGATCGTACACGAACTGTATTTGTATGACTTAATTATTTATCTTTGAAGACACTAATGTGTTTGATTAGCTGGGTTTAACGCCGCTTTTACCAGTAATGCAGTTATATCAAGGTATGTGGTGGGGGTTGGGGGTGGGACTTAAGACGATGCAGGTCTTGAATGTTAATTACTTTTGGTTAAATGCACGATAACGCATACTGATGGCGTTGGTTCGAATCCCATAAGTGCCATCAGTCTAAAAGATTTCAATGTATATCAGGTTGTGGAAACATAGCATGGTTGCTGTCAGTCAGATAAATAATACTGAGAACCTTTCATGAACTTCACCGACTCTTGACCATCTAAAACTATATATGGAAGACATATTACAATGCATGTATTAGGAATGGGTGTAAATGTTAAGATAACCACTTAGTGAGACTGAACATGCATATCATGATAATTTGCAACGCACTGTCTATTTGTTGTTTGTTGCAGTTCGTGATAAACATAAAACGCCATTAACTTCATCAAATCATATTACTTGTAAAAGACCGATTGAAAGTAAAATGGGATATATAGGGACACATTTCCATATGTTTCTCTTCTTTTGCTCTGTTACGTTTGTAGATCCTACTGACAAAACCTCAAATAGCATAATCATCATAAGTCTGCATCACTTCAATATTGTTTGACCAAGGAACATGGTATATGACTACTTGTCAATCAAATAATGCCACCAATAAAACCAGCAAATTAACTAAGGGAGAAACCTGCCCAATTCCTGGCTGGACTCTGAACAATGAAGTCATGTCCATATTTCTGTTGTGAAGGTATTTGAGACATGTGTCGTTAACATCATGTAGAGTCTGAACAACTCAAAGGATTGGCTTGGTTTCTTACAACCTTAGAAAGGAACCAAGTTCAATTATGACAAAACATTGGATTTTTCACTTTGTATACTGTTTTCCATCATGATAAGTTAAAGAAATTTAAACGTCATTGCTTTATCCATATCGCTTTTGTAATAAAATCTGATTTTTTTAATTTCCATTTTTATGTTACAATTTCCATTACAGCAGCTTTATGTTCTCCAATTGAAAGTATTTTAAGTGTACAGTGAGTAGTTTTGATGTAAATACATAGTGTGTACATTACCTCTGATATATAGTACACATACATACAAAGTACATATACAGGCAGTCAGTTATAGCATTTCGAAAAAGTAAATGGAAGGATGACCAGAAAGAATGAAAACTTGCATAGTTACAATTAGAAAACGCAATAAATTTTGAAATTTCATAATATTTTGATACTTCTTTTTGAAACCATATACAATTTCATGACTTCAGAGGTTCTAGACAACAGCGTGTGAAAAAAACTGGACTCCCTCTTTGAAACCATTGAAGTATTTAGACTCAAACTAGTCATCCCTATAGACATCAGTTTTAATACGCTTAAAGCGGATTTGTTTCATTATGGCCATGAGTCAGACGTTCTGCTTGGGTTTGCTGAGAAGTGTAACTTATGCTTCAAATATATCGATGATCTGGTAACGTTAGAAACAAATATCAAATTATCTATCATTGATTTACCCACCTGAACTAGCAAATGACGTCAAGTGAGACCTATCTGTTTCATACTTAGACCTATGCATAAAGATGCATGAACCAAAATCCTCTTCATAAGACTTTGTGGTATGAGGGATGACTTCAGTTTTTATCAGCTTTCCTCTAACGAGCAATATTTCTGTAGCTCCTTCGGTGTTTCCATGCCACAGCTTATGGGATACAATCGACCTAGCTTTTTTCAGAAATTGTTTGTTCAAGGGTACAACATTCAGTGCCTCACTAAAGCTTCCAAACAGTTGTATGGTAGACATGTGGAAGACATTTCCAAATGTGACGCATCAGTGACAGGAAGGATGACCGATGTAATTCCCTCTTTTGACTTGAACAATCTGGAACACCTGGTATCAACACTATTTCATTATGATTCAAATAAACATGTCCACGATATTGCTGGAAATGTGTAATCGACTTTGCCTTTGACGTGGATTTCTTACGGATGTTTATTGGGTTTTGTTGCTTTTGTTATCTTCTTGAGAAAGAGTCATGAGCTCATTTCTATGAAACCGATGATCACATGATGGTCACATGGCCACTAATGTGTTCACTTGTGAAGAACTGGGTCCCGGAGGAATCACCTTAGGGAGCTGAATTCCATTGAGTAACAAACAGCATGAAGACATATACCGAATGAAAAAAGAAGCTTCACACGTTTTACTTTATGTCCCAAACATACTCATATGGAACGAAATGTGTCGGTAGTAGATATACCTGGTTTATGGAAGTAACTGGTGTACACTAAAACAGGATTGCGCATTAAGGTACGCTTGGTGCACACACACACATACACACACACACAGTCAAAAGTAGGACGATGGCGTCACATTTGGATTTCATGGGGACTGCCATTTGTTTGTAGCTTGTTCAGTACCGCGTATACCCCCATCTGGCATTCACAACAGCAACGCAACGTTGTCTCATTGACAGCCTAACACCTGTGAACACAGCATTAGGCAACCTGTGCCATTGCTGTACCGACATGGCCTCCAGCTCTTGAATATTCTGGGTTTGACGTCTCAAGGCACGAAAACCTCTTCCAAGAGCATCCTATACGTTTTCGATGGGATTAAGGTCAGATGATCTCGATGGCCACTCATTGACGTCAATACCCGTCACAACACTATTCCATTGGGATGTTCCCATTTCGCCTACATCCCATTTCGCCTACAGTAATTGAGGATGGCAACTCATCCATCACTCATCCATCCCTCAACTCATCCAACCTCTCTGGTTCCAGCGCAGGTGTCATTATGGTTTACCTGTGTCAGAATCGGCCTAACATAAGAACGTTGGGCTGCGGTTCCGTATAGTCTGGGCAGTTACGCGACACACACACACACACACACGCACGCACGCACGCACGCACGCACGCACGCACACGCACACACAGAGTGCGTTGGCGTTTGCGGTCGTAAAACGATCTCGGAAATGACACGCAAATTGCCCTGGGCTTTCGACCTCACGCGTGATCCTCCTGACCTGGGGCGATCAGATGCCGTACCAATTTGATGCATACATGTCCTCAGGTTGTGAATTGTCCGTCTTCTGCATGAAATGCCACCTACAGTAGACCAGTCAGCATGGAGGATGCCAATTGCAAACTTAACATTTTTAAGGTGGGGCACCTCTCATGGTTTGTTAAGGTGTTTCTTTTCACAAGCAAATTCTCCACACTTTAGTGGTTAGGCACATGAAAATTGTGGTTACGTGAACCTGCACGCACCCCGCGTGGCTCACCTGTTTAAATAGTTGGTAAGACCTAACCATTAGGGTATTCGCCCATATTAACTACCTTGTTCTACCCATTTTCAATATAATTCATTTCTCCAAGTGTTTTTTTTGTTCAGTATGTGTCTATTCCATCGACAGAGTCTGGTCACAGCGAAGCGAGTTTCTCGATGGATGAGTTTAGAGAATGGGACCCTTTACATACAAAATTATCATACAATGTAAGATAACATAATGTGATGACAATCGGATAGGTGAATGGGACTCGACTCGAATGTAACAATCTACTAATACACATTTTTTGGGAAATGTCCTCATCACATCTACTGTAGACATCTACGAAAGGTTTACTTTGGCGTTCAATGTTGTGACCTTGGTAAAACAACTTTGAGTAAGAGTCATATGACGCTTTCTGAATTCCTCGATGAAAAAACGTACTCTATTATACCTCAACTCTATTGTACCACAAAAGTTATGTAATATTGACATCAAAGGCTTGGGCTGCTGGAATATTGATCGACCAAAAGGGGAAGTTGGCAAAAGGAATGTTTTCTCTTGCTGATAGTTTTCAGCAATTTTGAATGTTCAAATCGCCCCACTTGTCATACAATAGTCTGGATAGTTTTTGGTTACTGTGAATCTTTATGCATGCATTTATATGAAACTGGTGTGTAGAGTCTTCAAGCTCAGGTCGATATATCAATGGAAGCAAACTGACTAAGAGAACAGAAGAAAATTCTCCTTTACACAAATCTAAAGCTCCGAAAAGACTGGGGGAATACAAGTGATACTTCTTTGATAAACATCACATAGAGATGACTTCAGTCGGTGGGACAAATGAGGCAAAAAGGACTATATAAGTTGTAATCCCTTTCTCTGTAAAACAACTTATTTTTCTCTGGCATGAACTTTTTATATCTTGTTTTATTATATTTACATTCTGACACACTCGGATATAATGTGTATAAACAAAATGGCAAGTGTTATACGGTATATAGAGGATCGAGTCACAGAAGGACACTGGTTTTGGGAAAATATATTGCGCTTAAGATGTATAAACATTAGTCAGTTTCAGTTTTGAAGATCATAATGACAATGTGCAAGTACGGGTATTGATACGTTCGAGTTGGTTACAAGTGTCAAAACAAAAACATACAGAAAGATCAATTATGTTTTTGGTATGTCTTAAACTGATATGATGTGGCTTAAAGTGAAATATCAGTAGCAAAACATAAAGCTGCCAACTTTTCATGGGTATGTATTAAATATAAATATGTATTTGCAAAGACAGTAGCTAGGATTAAAAAAAAGAGGGCCATGCGCACAAACGCGATCTGTTCTTACTATATGTTTATATGTTAGATTTGCTAGCACCACAATCGAAAAGCTTTGAGTTAAACAGTTTTCATACAAGCCTCGATGGCACCATAGCATTTATAAACCATTTCGCTGTGACTGTTGTTATTTTATTTTCAGAATATGTGAAGATACTTATTTATTGAATTATGTGGATTTACATTTATAGTTGGTCTTTATTTAAGTAGCATGTTCATAGTGTAGTGTGATATTGTTAAACGTCTAATGAAATGCAAGTGATGTGATATTACATTTCACACTCATTCCTTCTGTATATGCTATTCCGTGGCCATGTTCAGATTTATTTTAAATTATAAACAATTGTGTCTGATTTTCAAAATATTATGATTTTTAGATGTTTATCATATATTGTCTTGTAACAACGTTTCTCTATAGTCATATATCTCTATTCATTACTTGATGTGATTGTCTATTTGTTATCATCTGCAGGCGAGTATCGCGCCAACCAGTGTGATCGAGTCAATTGCATACCTTGTGATAAGCGATATGGAAAGTGCAGAGGAAAGCCAAGTGGTATCTACCCTTTCCACACTGAACGTTGGACCCCAACCTTTGTCACGTGTTACGACCAGAGGAACATTGCGCAGGATGACTGCCAAGTGCCTACTCCAATCTTCTCTCCAGAGGTCCACGACTGCGTGTCCCTCTTTGAAGTACCCAAGGCCAACGGAGGTCTTCGTCCAGACTGCAGCTTCAGAGATGACGGCTATTACCCAGACGAGCAAGGCAGATGTGGAATCTTCTTTGAATGCAGAGACGGAGACTTTGAGGGCTACGATGAATGTCCTGCTGGGAAGGTCTTTGATCCAGTGAGCCTGAAATGCCAGTCTTTGGAAATTGCCGCACCTCCTTGTGGAACAGGTCAACAACCACAGTGCTATGACCGGGATGATGGCTTCCATGCCGATCCCTTTGGTAGATGTACGTACTACTTCGAATGCAGAAGGAAGAAATTCATCAGGTACAGAACATGTGACTTTGGTTCCTTTGACCCAATCCGACAGGAATGCATCATTCCAAATGAGCTGGTACCCAGACCATGTGGACTCCTTCCAAATCCCTGCGAGAGGAAATCCTCGGGGTTCCATCCTGACGCCAACACGGGTTGCAAGAGCTACATTGAATGCAGCAGGGGGATTCTTATCAGGAATGGGACATGTGCTGCAGATCAAGTCTTTAGTAGCGTAAGTGGTAAATGTGATAGGCAAGAAAACGCCGCAGAGCCTTGTGGACTCACACCATCCTGTGCAAACAAGAAAGATGGGAAATATTCTGCACTTCTGAAAGGGTGCAGTTTCTACTACGAGTGTTCTAATAGGAAATTCTTGGGATTCAAGCAGTGTTCCTATTCTCAAGGAGGGTTCTTCTTCAACGAGAAGGCGGGGAAATGTGACTTCCCACAGAATATCTGTCCGCCATGTGGTTATAAGTGGTGGGGCTGGTAAGTTTTAATAACTGTGAGATACGTGCACTTTTAATTAAAAATCGTTTTAACTGTAACTGCTCAGATACATGATAAAGTGTAATCTTATGGCCTCTTTTCTAAATTGCCGATTGGTTGATTAACTCTGATTAACGAGCACATTAAAATTCTATGAAATTATAGTACTAAGGCCATTTGTATAACTTGATGTTTTTAATAATGACTAAGTCAGTTTTGAGTGATTATTTATACACATGTATGTGTTTGCAGCTAACATTTATTTTCAGCTATGAAGATTATTCTCAAAAATAATCTTTAGTTTCGCCTGAATTAAAACCTTTGACAGCAGGGGAAAAGATGGAAACCTATCCTTTACAAGTTTGACATCTAGTGATCTAGTTACTAGTGTAGTTTAGCGAGAAAACTAGTCCTGTAAATAATGCATGATAGATTAAACAAACACGGACGAAACTGGAATACAGGTATGATAAAATGGAAGGACAACATGGTGCTAATTTACTTTAAAAAAGCATGCATAATTGCAAACTCATTAGATACAGATATTTCTATTCTGCAGACAAAGTTTTGTAAATTCATAAACATTCTGAACGATATAGATACACCATTTCCATGTCCTCGTTAATACAAAGTTGATACGAATGTCCATGTTTACTTATTGTTTGTATTTATATGTTTATAGCTGAGTGTATTTTCTATGCTCAATGACCACTATAACTATCCGGAGAAAACATATAATTTCGAAACATTTTGAACTGTTTATACATGTAGAGAACACAGAAAAAAGTAATCGTTGGAGTATGTTGTGTGGCAATTAGGTCTGAGATGATTCTGATTTACATTGAAAATGTACATGATTTGATCTAAGAATAGTTTAAGACATGTCAGACATACTTCGGGGCGGTCGGGTAGCCTAGTGGTTAAAGCGTTGGCTCGTCACGCCGAAGATCCGGGTTCGATTCCCCACATGGGCACAATGTGTGAAGCCCATTTCTGGTGTCCCCCGCCGTGATATTGCTGGAATATTGCTAAAAGCGGCGTAAAACTAAACTCAGTCAGTCAGTCAGTCAGACATACTTCCGATCTATAAATGAAAACAAATCATGCTACAATAACTACAATTCCTTACCTCCTGCCTAGGTAACTGACATGTCAGACAACGTGAGCCATGATATCAGAAACAAGTGTATGATTTTATAGATAGACATTGCTTTAACTCAGAAACTGTTTGATCTCATAAGCACGTTTGGAAAGTAGAAAGCGAGAAAGGATTCTCAAGAATCACAAAATTCAATGAGATCAAACATTTTCCCAACAGGTAGCTTGTTATAAGTTCAGGTCTCATGCCATATCTCCGAATCTCGTTTCAGTTCCCGGGCAAACTCCTTCCGGTAACAGTGCCGCCATCTTGGATGTCATCCCTGTGAGAATGTGATAAGTGAGACTGAGTGAGAGTGATCGCCCACTATATATAATACCTGGATATATAGACGATAACATTTACATCTAATTATTCTGCTTTTATAATCAACAAGGCCTTCCCTCTCAGAATGATGAATATATGATCGATGCCATGTTCTTCTCTTAAAAGAAGTACTATCGTACGAGCTATTTAACAAATTTAGGTACCCTTATTGAGAAAACATTACCTAAACTTCGACAAGTGCTGGCATTACATTTGAGTTTCCGATCAATCACCGATGTACTAAAATGGTAGGAATCCAAATGATCATTTCGAGGAAAATGCAATACTTCAGTACTGTGTAACGTAACTATGCACGCGTGTTACAGAGAGCAGGGAAGGTCTTCATGTGTACCATATGATTAACTTAATGTGCTGTATATATGTACATATGTAAAAATCCAATGTATGATCTATATTTTTTCAGTCCAATCCTACGATCTCCAATGAAATGGATTGAAGTGTACAAAGTATACATATATATACATATTCCAACATGTAATCAAAATAAATTTTATAATATACTGAATCTATGGTTTGTTTGATGTATAACAGTTTACGACGATTAGTGACCTTTGCTTGAAGGTAGCTTTGAGCCGATGACGTTTAAACAAAACGTTGGCGGAAATCCCAAAGACACGCAGATTGGGAACGTTACCGTTGTCAATCCCCCCGTATAGACGTATGGTGCTGACGCACCAAAGGTCATAAACGGCTCAGTTCTGGAATCAGACTGACTGAGTTTGGTTTTACGCCGCTTTAAGCAATATTCCAGCAACATCACGGCGGGGGACACCAGAAATGGGCTTCACACATTGTACCCAAGTGGGGATTCGAACCCGGGTCTTCGGCGTGACGAGCCAACGCTTTAACCACTAGGCTACCCCACCGCCCCTCTGGAATCAGAACACAGAACCAATGAATCTCTACATAGCACATTTTGCATCCGGGATCTCAAGCGTACCAAGATCGTTATGGTGAATGATTGAATTTGGTTTAACTACGATTTGAAGAGTTACATCATGGCGTGTCATTCTTGGATGAAGGGAAAGCCCGAGGTGGTAGACGTTTATAAATACAACTTACATGCATCCCACGAGCATGATTGTGAGGCAAATGTAGGACTCCGATCCAATATCACAGGTTTCTGGCAAGGATAAGTAACTTAACTGCGCAAAGAATTGCTGAACCATGGACAATTAGGGTTGTTGTTTGAGGCCTCACTCAGCAATATTCCAGCTATATGGCTGCGGTCTGTAAATAATCGAGTTTGGAGACAACCCTGTGATCAACAGCATGAGCATCGATCTACGCAATTGGGATACGATGACATGTGTCAACCAAGTCAGCGGGCCTGACTACCCGATCCCGTTAGTCGCCTTTTACGACAAGCATGGGCAATTAGGTAATACGTGACTGGAGAAAATGCAATCACCGTCCATTGATACTACATCATCATCCTTAGGTATGCAGAGCCAGCATGAGTGTACAAAGATTTAATTACAAAATACAGATTACATCAAAACAGCAATGCAATACTGTTCAGTTACCCACAGTCTGGGAGATGGGCAGTGGTTATCAGCTTTGGTGAGCTCTTATGATTATGGAAGGTCATTGTCGCGTTTATTTATGAAGTGTTAACCCCCGTCCACAACAACACCACCACTGATGTGTGGACATGGATCATACAATATATAACAGTACATGTTAGATTAGATATGACGAAAAATCCATACATATGAAAACGGACCTACATTGAAAGGAAAATATCCATTAGTGTTATATCACTTAACGTGTATATGATATTATATGTGCCAACGAAGCGTTTAATCACGTGTGTTAGAAAAGAGCCTATTGTGAGCTGCTCCACGAGTAAATTACATAAGTATAAGAGAGTGAGTGAGTTTAGTTTCAACGCCGCTTTTAGCAATATTCCAGCAATATCACGCCGGGGGACACCAGAAATGAGCTTCAAACATTGTACCCATATGTCGGGAATCGAACCCGGGTCTTCGACATGACGAGCCAACGCTTTAACCACAAGGCTACCCCACCGCCCCACATAAGTATAAGTACTTATGCTTCCTATATACAGTATTTCTGATTTCATGTCAAACCAATATGACAAGAATAGGGAAAAATCGACTTGAAAAAATCAAGAGAATCGACGAATCTAAATCAAAATGTGTATTGTACTTAAATAGGGTCTGTCACATCTACGTTACATATGTAACATGGCTCAAGTTGATTGTTTTCAACGTAGTCTAAAAGACGCTGTAAGTGCGCGTCCTTCACTTAATCAACATGTACTCAGGCATACGAGAAACAACGTACAGTTTGGAGGAAGGTTTGCAGAGGGCTAATATGGCCACCTGGCATGGACAAGAGTGCATTAGCATTAGCTAAATTTCCCGTTTAACATTGGCAGCTATCTACACGTCAGGGTTATTTAAATCATTGTTCGAAGAGAGATTACCGCTGGATCCTGTTTAATTGCACAGGCAGTACGAATGTGAGCAGAACAAGTGAATAAAGAAAAAGCTCTTTGCAGGTAAGATTTACTAAGCCCAGCAGATGAGGAGGAAGAATTAACGTAAATCTCCCGTGACGTGAGCCAAGGAAAATACACACATTTCCTCGCAACGTTCTGGATCCTCACATCACGTACTGTTTCGATAGAAAGTCATTTCCTCCTTAATGACACTCCCAGTTGTGATGTGTTGTAGATGGACCAGTTGAGGAGTTTAGTCACATGAGGAAGTTAGTTGTTTTTATTTAGTTATTGACACAATATATAACGTCTTAATGTAAAGAAATCACAACAAGCGTTACACACATAACTGCAAACGTGTTAGCGTTTTTCCTGGTTCAGTGAGATAAATGCCAGATATCACATGTGTTGTAAAAACCAACATGCACATGTATGTAGTATTTTTATTAATACGCTGTTGGTATTGTGTTGCAACATGTGATGTTTGTACTTTAATAAACCACACATACATCTGATGAGAGGCATACTAATCAGATGCATACATGTTCATGTCATAAAAGTTACATTGGAACTATGTATGAGGTACCATCCCATTACCCCTACATCCCATTACCCCTACAGCTTATAACAACAAAGTTCACCGTCCAATGCACTGCTAATCCCCTTCCATTTACCTGTTACCTGGACAATGGACTAGCCCAAACACATGAACACAAGATTTAATGTTTTAATTTATGGATTTAATTACACAAATAAATGAATATAATACACAGATATCTTCCTGGTCGTGACATGAATATGAGCAGCAGGTCATGTTAACTTTTTAATGTTAATTTTTGTCTTTTAAACAAGTCTCTATCCCAATTTGAGGAGATGGCCCACAGCGTCAAGGAACTGCATTGGTGTTTTCAGCCCAAGATTGAGCTGCTCCTTGAGGCGACACAAACGATGCTCCATCTCTCTGTACACTCTCTTTCTGCTTCTCTGTGCTGCTCCAAAGTCTATCTGGGAAATTTTCGCTCTCTCAGCGTGTTCAACTTTCCTGATCACC